ATTGGTCTGGTCTGGTCGATGAAGCAATGTGTGTTCTCAACTCACTGGAGCTCAGACTAAACGGAGGAAGCTGCATATCAAGCGACACTAACAGACTTCATCTCAGGATCAAGGCCCTTCAAAACACACTAACGCATAGGCGCGAAGCATTGTGCCCTGCTGAGAACCAAGCACACGCACTTGCACGCTCTAAAACAGGTGGGAGTACATACCCACACACAAACGCATAAATGCACATAACCATACAGCAGTGAGTTCATCCTTAGCTCAGGGGTTTTTCAGGGCACCTTTGCAGAATGACAAATAGCCATGCTCTTGTGTAGATATGCTGCGGCACAATGACAGGAGTGTGTCAAAACAGCACGGCGACAACAGATTATGTGGAGAGGCTGCAATTATACACACACACACACATAACACAACTACAAGGCCCACAAGGACACTTGAGCAGTGACAGATCACACTGCAAAGAAGCAGCAGCTCGTACAATGCGTCCGAGTCCTCCCACTCATATAATTGTGTGACAATATAAATCCTTCACACTACACATGCTGACTGAAAGGCATTTAGGTTGAAGGACAGGACAACCAAACACCAGTCATTTTTGTATCATTACTATTTGTGCCAACATATATTTATATACAAACATTCAGACAGCACCGGGTATATAATAACATGTAAATAATTAAATGTGATGTGACTTCTTTTTCTATGTACATTTTCTATTGCTTTATAATTTATTTACATCCCTGCTGATGTTTCTACATGTTTTTTTATGACTGATGCTGGAGGTGGACAGAAATACAAAAACAAAATAAATGCATATATTTAAATTTTTTGGCCTCATTCAGGATTATTAATGTTTTGTTTCACAATAAGTACATTATATACTTATTATTTGATGGGATTTATGTGCATATTTGTTTTTCAACCTTAAACGAGTAATTACTAGAGTTTCATGTAAAGTGCAGACCAAAACAGCCATCCTTATTCAAGAGTTGTTTGCAGAAAGATCTCCATTTAACGTTTAGCTACCACATTTGGCTAAATAATTGTATGTATTATGAAAGGATCAAAAGATCTCACCTCTCCTGTCATTTGACTAGAGTAGAAAGATGTTATTTCCAATGTTTTATTGCAGTTAATGCAACAAACACCTGTCCGACCTCTAACAGAGAACATTATAGTCACAGATTTTTACACTGTTTGTGCAGGAACCTTGTTTAATAGAGACATTTAACATCCAATTTTCTTCATTGGATTTGTAGACATAAAATATACTTGGATTTCACTCAACTTTTTTTCTTTTTAAATGAATACATTACGCAGCCAATGTTTAATTCAGTAATACAGATGTCTATAAAATGACAATCTGGCTGTGATACTTGTACCTAGTTGCATATAAAACCAGTATAACAAGCATGAGGCACTTACTGATGTTCAGGCTCTTTCAGAGATGGAATAAGATGAAAGAAAAGTCATGCATGTATTTTAAGGAAACATCATTTTATTTTAACATGAACATATCAAAGATTTCACTTAAAATTATATGCAGTAAAAAAATTATTTGTCTGCACAGCAGTTAGAAAACCATCGTTTACGTATAGAAATGCCCCGAGCGTCCTCTGTTGTATATTTTCCAGTGTTGTTACAGGCCAGAGTGAAGTAATTTGTTATGTATAAAAACATGACTCACCTGAGTATTTCCAGTCTAAACTCTTAAGAACCAGATCATGACTTCAGACTAAACAGACATGAACTCACACCTACACAGCCACACACGAACTAACTTAAACACAGCAGGTTCAGCTCTTAAACATAGATAAAGGTGCAGTGTCTTTTCTCTATGACATATGTCTCTTTTCTCATTATCTATCATTTCAAAATCTGCGACATGATGTAATTTTTCCCGCTTACCACAGCAATAATGTAGTTTAACAACATTGTAGTTCTCTAGGAACAGCTTGTTTCGTTGTTGGTTCACACACACTGGTCTTTAGACTTGAATGAACAGAACTCCTCTAAAACTTGCCAGTTGGCCTTGGCTGTAGCGTAAGAGCACAGCCTTCTGGTGTTCACACCGCCGGGCAATTCTGCAACGTCCTCTCTGCTACAGAGGAAGAGGAGGTGAGCGCTGAAACCCGGTACACCCCGTGTGCCAAACTCCTTTCATCTCCATCTGTAGTCGGCAACCTGGAAGAGAGAGATGCGTACAGATTGGCGCATTACAGAACATTTGGTACACGTCTACAATCCTCTGGCTGAACTGCTGTATACCTGACAGATACCAAAGAACTGCAAACATATCTTTCTCTGCGGTTTCTTGTTATTAATCTGCCGATATAAATGCTAATACATAGAAGTAATAATCATTTTTTGATCTTTTTATCTGTAAATTATTGATCCATTAAGTGTTTAGTCAATGCATTGTCAGACACTAGTGAAAAATCTATTTCCCTGAAATCCAAGTTGGCATCTTTAAATTACTTGTTTTTTTTAGTCTAAAAGTTAAACACACACACACATTCAATTAATAAAATTTAAATGAATGACATTTAAAGTATTCTCTTGAAATATTGCAATTCATCGGACACGATACACATGCCTTGTGAAAACCGTGGTACCACCATGTAAGTGATGATTTCAAATCCTGAAAAGAATCCAGCAGCTCTTGTATGCAATCTGTTAAAAGGGAAGGATAAGCTTGTTGAGACCAGTGCCAGTGTGTTCGGGTTCGGTGGTGAGTGGACTGGACTCCTGTTCCTGCTGAACTGAGCCAGTGGTTCTGTAGGACTGATTATCAGCTCAGTAGGCACAGGAAGCCAAGCCCAAATCTCTCTTCCTCATGAAGTACTGGCTCTCTATGAACACATATTCTTTCCTTTTCTCCTTGCAGCGTCTGTAATGAAGCAAAAAGCAATGCCAACTCAGGCTGCCGTGTCAGGCAGCGTTCCGCTTTGCCAAACCCACAAAAAACCACAACACTGTAGGTTCATTTAAACCATTGAGATTGTTGGATTTCACTAGCTGCTGAAAGGTGTGGTTGACATGGTAGAAACCTCCCCACCGCGATGTCAGCGAGACCACTGCTGGATTGTGGGAGCTATCCAAAATGATTGGTACATTGTTGGCATAAAAAAAGGGCTATGAGACTGTTATATCAGAGTCTGGTCATAAAATTTAACTATAAATCCATCAAAATCACATTCCACCACCTTCTGTGTGGGACATGCATTCATACTGCGTTACTGAAAATTGAAAGTTGCCAACATAAACTTTGGAATGCAACAGCTCCCTAAAATATGCTCAACATTAAAAAGACAATCAGTCAAGTTTAGTTGTGTTTAAAGAAGGTGGTGTGGGTGGCGTGGGCCAAAAAGTTTATTTTCTGCGTCTTTATACAATGTTGCTCTGTCCTTTGATGTGCAGAGCGCCATTTCCCTCCCATTAGAGTGTAATAAATCACCTTTTAGATACGCGCTCTGATGGCAATTCCTCTCTTTTACAGGCCTTTGATGGTCATTACTCTTTTAACAGGCCCTAAATATAGGTCTAAAAATGGCAGGCTCCACATGGCCCTCATTTCTAATTCACACATCTGTCCTCGTTTAGTCGCCATTTTGTCGCCGTGAATATAGAGCGCTATAATACCTCCTCACGGCTCATATTCTGATTGCCAAAAAAAGACTGACAAGTTCTAAAATACATTTTCAGCCATCTGTCACTGTTTTGATTAGGGAGCAATCGTTCCAGAACAGTATAGCTTTGCATTACAATTACCTCGTATAACAGTGGACTACACCCATGTTGTAGCAAAGGTTATACATTAAGTTACTGTGTATTTCTGTGTGTAGTATTTTAAACTGTAAAGTCTGTCATTATTCTTTGCATGTAGTCCAGCTGCAGTTATTGACAGTTTGGGTGTTAGCTGATGAGTGCACTTAGCAGGAATTGTTTGTTAAGAAGATGCAAATGGAGGCTGTTGTATAACACTTCCAAAACAAATATATATCTTGGGACATGTGAGACAGACTGAGATTTATTGATCATTGTCTTGGCAGTTTGCATTGTTTTTCTTACGTCTTAAAGCTTATCTTGACTAATTTGGGAACCCTCCCTCTGTAATACTTTAAACAGAGTGTGTGGTGTAACCCGAATGACAATTCCTGCTTTTCTAGTTATAGTTCTAGTGGGTGTTTTTAACAGGATCACAGCCTTTTGTTTCTCATGTCTGAGACACTAGAAGCTTATATTGTGCAGAAAATCCACAGTAGAAACACTAAACTGTCCCACTAAAGTAAAACCGACATCTCTAAATGATGGAAAGCTATGAAAGCTAAAATCTTTGCAAGTTGTTTCCATCTCTTGACGCCTCAGTCTTGTTTTCTTTCACAGTGTGGAAATGTGTTCTGTGAGAATCCGTCTGCTTTATGGATCTCTGTATCTTGACTTCCACAGGCTGAGATTAGATCAGAAATCAATACATATCAGCCAGGAATCCACGGACGGCTCTTTTCACTGCCAAAGTGATTTGAAGTTTAAAACCTACTTTAAGTGCTTAGAGGATGATTTTGAGCACTGATTTGCTGCAAGCCTCGTCAACCTTTTTAATGAGTTTCCCTGCTGCATCTCAACTAAACCACAGACCTTTTTCACAGCAACCATTTTGGGGTAAACACAAGTGTTACCACTGATACTAATTACCCTACTATTTCATGTCAAAATGGCAAAAATGTCTATTAAGTTCAAATTAAAATATGCTTTCTTATTGAAATCTATATGAGAAGGGGCCATAACAAGAAGTCACAAAAAACATTGTCCAACATGACCCCCTGTAAAACCCTGACTTGTTATTTTTACACTGGTTTTTGGACCTAACATAGTAATTAATAAACTACAGAGATGCTGCTGGGCTGAGCTAACCGGCTGCAGTATCTAGAGCTAGACCGATAAATCAGTCAGGCCGATATATCGGACGATATTAGCTTGTAGCAGATACATCGCTATCGGTGTATGTCTACCAATAAATAACAGGAAATTGCAAATCAAGTCAAGTTAAATTTCTAAATATCCTGCTCAGTATTTTGGTCGCAAAACAAAAAAAAAATTGATCAAGGGTGTGGAATTAGTATCAAATGAAAATCTGGCATCAGTCAGGCTATACCACATACAGTATTAAGCATGGTATTATCTTCTCATCTAACTCTTGACAAGAAAGCGAATATGCATATTTCCCTAAATGTCAAACTATTCCTTTAAAATGCTCACTAAGCAAGACAGCGTGTCCTAAATCCAAACTACACACTGCTGTGATTCTAAGCAGACTTTCAGAATTTACTGTGTTCACACAACCTAACCCTTTTACTATATAATGACAGAAGTATGTTGGGTTTTTTTGTATACTATCTGTAAAACTGTATACTCTAACTACATGTATATAGCACATATTTTATAGAACTAGTATGTAGTATGACTTTGGGACACAGAGTGTCTGCTGTAAGAAAGAGAGAATAGTGGAGAGGAACTGATGAGGGTGATGATGGTGGCCACTGCTCCCGGATTGATGAAATATCTGTCAGCAGCATTAAGCAGCGTTTGGGTCTCCCCAGGCCTCATTAGTACTGGAAGTACAGTGTCTCTCCTGAGGCACTTGGCTCTCACCTTCGCTAGAACTACAGAGCGTGCGACTGGCATCATCTCCAGGATTATCTTTTATACTACGTAACTAAAAGGAGACAGAAGCAGAGGGGTGGAAGTAGAGAGCAAGGAAGGAAGATGAAAGAAGGGAGGAAGAACGACAGACAAAGCAGGAGAGCGTAGCGCGGCGCTCATTAGTAATGTTGCACAGCGTTTTGAATTTCTGAGGAGGCGTGTGTGTTTAATTCTTTTGAGTGACAGGGTCTCTGTGGAAAGTTTTATAAACATGCAAGCGAGGCTGGAAAAGATGTATTTAGACTGAACTGGAGGCAAAATGCAGGATAAGGAGAAAAAGGAGGAGAAGAGTGAAATGAGATAAGAGAAAGAGGGGAAAAGGTGAAAGAGGAGCGGGAAAACAGAGGACAAAGGGGAAGGAGTTCTGTGACTGAAATGTATGAACACACATTAGATAATTGAACTCGACTGTGTGCTCACAAAAGCACAAACACACGTAGCACCTCACTGTAAAAACTTAGAAAGATTTCTTTTCTCTCTTTCGCACCCATTCATTGTCTTCCTTTGTCTGCTTGTCTGGGTCATGCTCTCCTCAGGTGCAGAACTTAGCCACTGTGAACAAAGAGGAAATCAATCACTGTTCACCAATCAGCTAAGCTCTGTGCCTGGCTGGAGAGAGGATAAAAAAAAACCTGTCTGGCAGACTGACATGTACACACACTCTTACAAAACACTCACATCCAAGACCCTCTGGCTCCCTCATCATCCTTTTTTCTTCTTCGCACCAGATCATCAACACATCAAACACAATCAAACGCACTCTTAGCTAATCATGTCTTCCTTAGTTTTAAGTTTCTGCGGGACGAATGAGAGTGTATGTGTGTGTGTATGGGAGGGGCTGTGGTTGCCATGGCAGCCGGCTGGGTCAGGGCTGTGTGGTAATCCCTGGCAATGTGATTTTATCATAAGTCACAAATCAGCACGCCAGGAACCCTCACAGCCCAGACATGAAAGAACAAGATCCTCTCTCTCTGTCTCTTTTTTCTTTTCTTCCTCTAACTACATCCTCAAGTCCAGCTCCAGTCCAACGCTAACCTGCAACACCCTGAAATAAAAAACCTCTAACTTTCTTTGTTCTTTCTTCCTTCTGCCTTACGTCTGCCATCGGAGCGCAGTGAAAGAAAGACCAGACCTGTAGATCCTCTCTCCCTCACACACCATTTCCTTGGTTACCCCTCTCCTCCTCTCCCATTCGCCACGCTCGGCTAACCCGACGATATGCCCCTCATTAAGCGGATCAAGAGGGATTCCAGAGGCATGTACCGGGGGAAGAAAAGAACGAGGGAGTGAGCAGGGAGGGGAAAAGGGGAAAAAAATGACAGGGAGAGACCACCCTTCTCCTTTAAAAGGGTTGTTCTTTTTAGGTTTAAAAAAACAGAGCCGACAACGCGCCTCCTTGACAGACATGTTGTTTTCAGTTAAAACCCTCTCAGCCCGCCTCAGCCTAATCCCACTGTACTGTGGTCTGTGGGTGAGGGTGTAAAAGGGTACAGGGGAGGACTGCTCTACTTAAGAAAAGACTATGGGGGAACACAAACTGAGCAGTAAAACATGAATCAATCTCCCCACAGTGCAATATGAAAAAACAGCGAGGAGGTTGGTTCATCCATCATTTTAATTGGAGAGAGATCTGGACCTGAGCTCAGTTGACCAGCATGATCCACTGATGTTTACAGAGGCTTGTTTGGTTCAGTCCAATGGGAAGCAGCAGTAAAAGTTAGGATATTAATCTCTAAATGCTTCTTTTCTTCTTCTTTTTTAAGGTGTCTCTGCTGCTCTATTCCATCCCTCCTGTACTTGTAGTGAGGCTCCACGGGGAGGTGTAGTGAGGGAGTGAAGGATGATGACAAAAGATCTGCAGGCACAGACAGATAGGCGCTACATACATGTGTGTGCTGTATGTGTTTGAGTGTGTGTGTGTCAGAGAGATTTATCAGGACAGAGCCAGATGCCGAGCACTTGTCTAGAAAGCCTTTCACATCCTCTGCAAATGCATAAAGCTGACTCTCTCTCTGTCTATGTCTATGTGTGTGTGTGTGTGTGCGTCTGAAGATAAAAGCCTGTCTTGTAGTGGCTTGGTCACAGGCTAAAAAAGGATTTAGTGCTGTAAGTCACTCAGGTTGATGGAGACAAGTATTTAGCAGCAGCTCCTGACGCGGCCTGTGTTGACCAAGGTCACAGACGCCTCGTATGACCTTACACTGGCTGAACTGGGGGCATGCGAGATGATAACACAGCTGGCTAATTTCAGAAGCTAATTGTGACTTTGATCTGAAACATACAAATCGTCATTTCTGGCGCTAGGGGGTCTCTAGAGGAGGGAAGTTTGAGATCATGGGAGTTTCACCACCATGGCCATCATTGCAGTCAGGTTTCCACCAGGGGGCCAAATAATCCACAGAGGTATCGGCGTTTCTCCGACGCTATTTAGCGGACAAAGAACGTACCGGAGGGCCTGCCATCTCTGATAACTTAAGATCCAGATGTCCGATGACTAGTCAATATAAAATATGTAGTTCAAAACCACCAAGATTAAAAAATTATATGGTAAAAAGTCAATTTATGACAGCTTCTGGCAGACAACCAAATGCACAAAGTGAATACAACGCCATTGACAGGTGACCGGAGAAACGCAGTGCTACCTGAATAAAATTACGTATTGTTGGAAACATTTGGATAACAAGTGCATAACTGAGCAAACATAGGTCTAATGTTTAGAGACATTTTAATGCAGAACTGTTACATATAGCTAAGTTTGAGGTTTTAGCCAACACTAACTGCTATGTTGTAACTGGTTAGTTTCACACTAAACTCACTCACTTTGTTCAGTCTCTCTTCTTTGTAACTCTGTTCTGCCAAGACAACAGTCAATAGGGAATGACTGGTTTAAAAATTTAAAAAGTTGAATCTTAACTCTATGTTGTTACTAACCTGTATGGTACAACCATAATACAACTTGAGTTATAGGGTAACTACATTAAAACTAATGTTCTTAAAATTCATGTAAAGTAAGACAAAGTTGGCCAAATTAAAATTTCTTAAATGGCTTTTTACTACAGTATAAATGAGGGATTCTACATGAACATACAATTTTCTGCCAAAATGATGACAACTCTGCATATTTTACATGAGAGATTTCTGGATTTCTGTTTTGTCTGATCATTTTACTGGTTTAAAGGGAGCATGGCTCAGTTACAAAAGGCAGAATCTGACAAAAGTTGTGGGGTTGTTGGCTTATGTCGCCACGGAGATGCCACTGTCAATTAAATCTGAGAGAGAGACAGATTAGCTGCTTTTCTGTTTTACATCATTATAAATTGAATATCTTTAGGTTTTGGATTGTTGGTCATTTGCTATGTTTGACATTGCGATGGACATTTTTCTTTAATATTTTTTGTATAATCTCTTGACATTTCATAGACTAATTAATTTAAAAAACAGCCACACAAGCCTAATGAAGCAGGTTTGAGTGTTTATGAGACAAAATTAGAAAAAATAAAACAACATAAGCTAGAAGTATTTTAGTTAAACGTGATTTACACATAGTGTAGTAGAGTCATCCCACAATACTATAGCTGTAGCATTTGATCCATAGTATAATACTGTTATTTAAAAGCTTTGAAGAATAGTTGGGTTACTGTAGTTGAATTTAATAGCCTGCTCTCATTATTCAAAGGTTAGTATCAGTAATAGCAGGACTGCTATGAAAAGATCAGCAGCTTCAAAGAGACCTGTCTTCACTCGAGTCATCCCTTCCGCTCTTTAATTTCCTCCCTTCTCTGTCTGTCTGAACCATAAATTTGTATCTTCCCTGCATTTAGTATGCGATCAATAAAACCCTCACTGCTCTGAATCATCAAAAAGCTCAGTGGTTGATGGTTGTGGTAATGCATACACACACAGCAACACACACACGTATACACACAAGAGGAATTTCAGGGTCAACAGTATAAAAATCACCCTACATCGGGCAGAGACTGTCCCGAGCTCCTCAGAAAACGCTCGCTGACCCTCTATCTCTCTTTTTCTCTCTTCCCATTCTCGTTTGTTTGAGGAACACATTCCCGAATTCCTTCTCTGACAAACACATCCTGATTGCGCTGCTGTGAAACCACGGAAAAGGCCCCATTCTGAGTCTACAAACACACACACTCAATGGGCTCAGAGAGGAATGTGAAATATAGGTAGCCAAGTGACTCAAGTGTGGACTGTACGCTGCTGCGGATGTAATCAGGATCAATCCAACACAAAGCTTTCTTTTACGATCGTCATTTCAGACTTGAGAAATTGTGCGGAAATGCTTTGTCATACGTTCTTGTCATACCTTCTTTTCTCCACAGATGGTTCAAGTAAAATTTTACAGACGATTAAAGGGGCATTTAGTTTCAAACAACTGCGAATATGAAACAACTGAAAACCTAAACAAATATATATATTTACATTCAGCTTGTTAGGAGACCTGTTGATATAATTTCAACCATATTTAGTCAGTCCCACTGAGAGCAGGTAAGGCTATGATAAAACTAGAGCTTCACTAATGTGAAGATGGGAAATTTTAGTTTTCCTTTGGTCCAAAAACTGAGAATGAGACTTCACCTCCAATGTAGGACCATCATAGGACCATCTCCTCCACCACTCTGCGTGCCGATTGGTCCATTTCTTCCTGGACCAATGAGAGGCAGCGACAGGCCAGAGCCTGCTGCTCAGGGTCCTCCTGAACCATCAACTCCCCGTACAGATACACACCCATGGCCTGGAACACACATACACAGTCAGTTAGTTTATTCTTATGTAAAGGCTGCTCTGAATCAGAGTTTGAGGCTTTGTATTATACAGGACAAATGTTCTCCAGTTGTATTTACTTGGTCATGAACCAGGAAGTGTTCCACGTCTCTGTACGCCTGAGTGTACGCATGTTTGACCACCAGTTCACACCAGCGATGTCGGACCTGGAAGCCAAAACAGAGGAAGAAATACAACAACAATTAATGGAATCAGAAAAACAAATATTCATTTAATTATTTTAACTTTGACCTTGAGGTAGAAAATCTATTAAAGATCCTTGAATGCCGTCAACATGGACCAACACAGTAAAAATCAAATAAGTGTAGAAGGAACAACTGCCTACAGCCTAATCTAGAGCCAGTATTTGGTTTGTCTGGGCTAGTGTTGAAACATGGCGGTTCAACATGGAAGGTGACACATAGTATTTGTAGATATAAAAGGTTCATTCTAAGGTAACAAAAACATAATTCTTATTTTTAGGTAATTCTACACTAACAGAAACAGTTACGAGTATTATATTCCATTTCTGCCAGTAAATCCTCCTAAATGTTACACACTGGCCCCTTTTTTAATTTTATAAAATGCCACAATTTTTAGCTTTAAACTAAAGTTAAATTAAAATAATTGCACTTACATATCACTCCTTTTTTATGTCTAAAGTTATATAAGGTCACTAGTGTTTGTAATTTCAGAGTCTACGTTGTTCATTCACAAATTAATGCTTTACCAGCTTGCAATAAGAAGTTAAAGGGATTCATCTCAAACACAGTTCATAGAAGATTTTTAAAGTTTTATATATTCTTCAAAAAGTTGCCCTTGTGGAAGACATTTTATTTGTATGCTTTTTGCCAGTGCACTCACACAATAATGTGATAAGGTCTCCTTCAATACCAGTAACAAAAGACAACGGCTCATCTGACAAGCTGAGAGACAAAGCTGCCACGCTGACAATGAACAGATTCATCCGGAGTCGGAGGATTAACAGACGTAAACTTTGTTTTTAAAAAGGAAACCATCTCAATGTAAAGTTCATGTTCAAAAGTTCCCTTTTAATTCTCTGACTATGTGCGTGTGTGTGTTCTCAATGTGTGTGTATAGGTGTGTTTTTACTGTATGTGTGTGAAAACTAATGCCTGGCCTTTCTCCCAGAGGATCAATAGGAGCTCTGTTGCCGCGGTTACAGGAGAGATCAGAGACTGGCTCTGTCCCTGCCTCAGCCATCATCCTTCATCATCTGCTATGAGCGTGCATGTGGTCCCGTGTGTCTGTGCATGTGCGCAGGCGTGGACATGCAGTATATGGATAGACTCTTGTGGAGGAGACGGACAGGAGGATGATAAAAGAGACAGAAGGATGATAAAAGAGACAGAAGAACGATAAAAAATCCACATGAAAAATCTTTTAAAGCAGTCTCACTACTTTAAAGCCTGACAGTTTGCCTCTGCTGTTTTTTTTTTCTGGGTATTTCAATCTCCTCCATAACTATCTCCACACAAGCATGATAATAAACTAGTCCGATGAGAGTTTAGTGACCAAGCGTGGGATTTTTTAGTGATTGATTCTGTTTCAACAGCTCAAGCTTTAGGCATTTCTACAGCGCTTGTACAGATATTCATTTTGAGGTAGTATACTAGAAAGGGGCCAAATGGATCCACCTGAGTGCTGTGCTCCTCTTAATAGGAGTTTTTGCTTTGTTTGTTGCGCTGCCCTCCACCTGTTTATGCAGCATTAGAATGGAGACTGAGGCATGCTCCATTTACAACAACCAAATTTAAATCCTTACATTAACTCTGCAACCTGCTAAATAAACATGAGTTTAATTGGTCTCAAAAGTGCTTTCTAGTTCCTCTTTCATCAAAATGTTAAATCGTCCTTTTCCCATTTATTATCTGCCTCTGTTTACTCTGGAAGGTTGCAAAAGCCCCACAGCAGACATGACAAAAAGCAAAGGTTATACTGTAGGCTAAGTGTAACATGCTCTTCTACCTTCTGCACACATGGGAACAAGGATATGTGTGTTCATGAATGTGGGAGTGTGCATGAGTGTGTGCAGTATGTGTACCCTCTGGTGCCAGCCCTGCCCTTCTGGCCTGCGTAGCCCCAGCAGCTGTTCCCTGTGCTGGGTTACATTCCTGGGGAGAGCCCTGGGGCAGAGCAGCTGCCTGGTGCACCTCTCTTTACCCCCTCCTCTTTTTTTTTTTTTTTTTAAACAGTTTCCTCTCACTGGGCCCCTCTCTCTGACAGCACATGCAATAACACAGTGACATTCCTTCATTTATTACTGCTCCCCCGTCCCTCCCTTCACCCTCCACTACCACCACCGATTTTGACACATACACAAACGCTACAACTGATACTAATGTACTCCGTGCGGGCTCGCACTTACCGTGACAAACAAACTTACACGTCCCAGACTCTCAGTCAGAATCTTATGCAGGACAGACAGTGTTTCCCTAGCACAGCCTTTTATATTTACTTTCTGGCCAAAGTGAGTAAATGTACTGTAAACTGTATATAATCAAAAGTCACTGCAATAAAAAGTGCATTCTTTGTAAAATTTGTTAAAATTCTCTTTACATGCTGACAGATAAACCTGCCTGTCTACCTATCTACCTCCGCACATTCTGCCCCTGCACTCATTGATTGCGCATGGCCGGAGTCTTCCAAAAGCCAGCCAGACAGATATTGCTAACGCTACAGAGCTAGTCACACAAGAAGAAAGACCAGTCAGAATGTATAGTTCCACCTGTACCTTAAGTCTACAAACTAAAAGTTTGGATAAAGCAACCAGTAAAACCAGAATCAATTAATAAAGTTGAAACAATTCAGCTTTACTTTAAACCTTACATCTGTGCTCCATTACACTATGTACTTATGTTCTTTTCCTAGACATTTGTCCAGTGGCACTAATTAGGGCTCGAAGGGGATTCCCTTGTCAGTGATTCCTCTCAGGGAGTTAAATTTATTTCCCATTAGAGGTTTTTTGGGGGAGTTTGTCTTGTTCACTTCAGGAGCTGTTTTTGTTTGCAGTCTGTGAAGCCCACTGAGACCGTCATTGTGATGAAAGGCTACACAAGAAACTTGGGTTTTTCACAGACACTCTTTGGTTTATTCTTAATAACTCTTTCCTTTTTTTGTTGTCTCTTTGTCTCCGCTCCACATGTTGTGGCTGGTGCAACCAGACTTGCTGTGGTCCAGTGAAGTCTCCAGTCACTGGAGGAGTAAACCTAACCTGGCCTGAAACACACAATGAGCCCTGTGTGCTTGACCGACAGATGGCCTTTGACATGCAAAAGCGTGCATGTGTGCTCTCGCAAAATCAGAAATGTACTTACCAAACTACACACATGGATATACACTCGCACACGCAAACATAGAGTCACGCCGCATCTCATGTCACATGACGCTCATGGGAAAAGTCATGCACTCTCTCTCATACATGCAAACACATGCTCCGGCTCACAGACGCACTCACACATGTATTCATGGTCACTCACACCATCCAGAAATCAGTCCTGCCGCATGCACACTGGTGGTCAGCCACATATTTCCTTTCGCTGTCGTGTACATGCTCACACAAATCACACACACAAACAATGACCTCGTCTTCACTGCACCTTTAACCCAGAGGCAAGCTTCTTTACCACTTTTACTGCACAGCGTAACATTATAAACTTCTCTCCACTGCTTGGAGCGACACATGCCCGGCAACTAACAGGTGGTGGAGCAATATATAACAGCATGTCATGCTTATGTTATCAGATTAAGCTTTAGTAATGACAAAATACCTTATTAAATTGATTAATAGAATTGATTAAAACAGCAAATCAGGAAAGTCTGACATTGATATAGTATGAAATCAGAATACTTGCTAGAGATTTGTATCTGTATGGATTTGGGCTTGGATAATACATTTTAGGGTGAACAATCGATGCCTTCTGAGTCGACGTATTACTAACCACTCTTCAGAAGCCAAAAGAATCATTTCTATAATCCAATATTCATTCATAGTCAAGCTCTCGTTCCCTACACGGTAAATAGCGAGGGGCTACAGAAGCTGAACCGCACTCAGGCTTGTATTTGTCCAAGAATTTTAAACAGATCAATCATCAATCCTTCTGAAGAGGATGCATTACCAGACAAAGAAAAGCTGAGTGAGAAGACGAATACAATCAGACTGGGGAACAGAAAGGGAGAGAAAGAAAGGAGGAGAATAAATGGCCACATTTATAAGGAGAGACGTAGGTGATTAACCTCTTCTGAATGAGATTACTAACATTAGGACAGGACCATTGCCTTCAGACAGGTGTGTGCAGGTGTGTGTATGTTTGTGTATGAGTGAGAGTGTGTGAGTGTGCGCGCACTTCCATGCATGACTATGTGCATAATGGCCCTGTGTATTTTTAGCGAACACTGAAAGTTTTTCCTGGAAATTGCAGATGAGAATCTGCTTTCATCTGCCAGGAAGTCTGACTAAAGAGGCCTTAACCTAAAGCTGGACCCAAGGCCAAACGCGAAGTGGCCTCGGCGTGTGACCACAAGGTTAAGTACTAAAATTAAATGCAAGACAGTAACATCAAGAAGTGAGTAAAGTCACAGAAATATTTTTATTTGTGATTTGAAGTGGCCTGTTATGTGAAAGTGGAACATCTGAGCCCCATTATATACATTACTGCCCCAACAAAACAGCTCATATAATTAGTAAGAACTTGTAAAATACTAAATATGTATCAAATTTTTCTCTTCAAGACCAGCCATGTGTTAACGATGGAGGTTAGCGTGGACACTTTACGGGCCCTGCCGCAGCTGTGTTTTTGCACTCATGCTGCTGTACTGAGAGGCGGCGCTGTACAGTAAAGAACTCTTCAGCCGCAAACACACACAGCTGCAGAGCACAAACACAGACAAGGAAACACACTTGAACGCACTCACAAACATTGTTAATAGTACCATTAAGGAACTTTGTGCAGTACTAAAACATGAAGCGAATAGTTGTGGGATTTAGTCGGTAATGGTGGCTGTAAAGAAGAGAGCTGCTATTACAGCAGAATTTACTACACATTACTAAGCGGTGTGCCTTGGGATGGAAAGAGAGAGGAAACCTTCTACTTTTTATTATTGGAGGAGATTATGGAGCTTGGATGCATATGCTCACTTATCTGAGCATGTGTGTTTGTCTAGGTGTGTGTGTGTATGTGGTCCTACCTCAGCGTCTTGATCCTGCAGGTTGTAAGTTCTCTGCAGAGCTCGCATCGTTTCCACGCTTAGCTCCTCTTCTTCGAGGAGAAGCTCCAAAAGCATCACTAGTTGCTCCGACGTCACCTGAGGAGACAAAAGAATTCATGAGATTAATACTGTAGTGCGGACTAACACAAGCTCCCTCATATATTGAGACATATTTTTGGACATTATGAGTAAAAAAAAAAAAAAAGTCATATCCTCCTTACTCCAGCAGATTCAAACTACTAAACTAGCAAAATTATAAACATATTGCTTGCTGTGAGTCAGTTCTCAAACACATTTGTTTATGTTTAATTTTCTTTTCAGTGCTCGGGAAGGCTTGATGAAAAAAAACACATCAATATAAGTCAGACAATTAATGCAGCCTTTGAAACGGAGGAAACGGTTGCATAATAAAACAGAGCTGAAATGGCAATTAAATAAATATGGTAAACCAAGTGAATCTTGTACAACTGGGAAATATTGCAACACAGGCCAAAGAGGACAGATGAAGGGAAGATATTAGAATTTGAATCAAGGGCAGAGAGAGAGGTGAAACAAAGCAATGAAGTTGTCTTTTTTGATATTGTCCTATTGTAGAGATACAAAGAGAGCTGCGCTGTTCAGGGACACACACTGCCAAAAAAAGACATCTTTTAGTCTTCCTTTTTACGTTGTAAGAAGACAATGAAATCCCTGATTGCAGCGATGACAGAGCCGTAAAATTGAGAAAAGAAGAAAGGTTTTCAGGAAATAGGAAATGTCTTTACTGTTGCTTCTTAATAGTGCATGTACTGATTGTGTTATCCTGAGGTAAACCTAAAGGAAACAAGCTATTTTGTTCTAATGACTAACATCTTCAGGGACGGTGAAAACTCAGCGGTGAATTTAGACAATCATTCTGAAGATGGATGTGGGCAGCGATATGAGAGAGCGACTTCCTCCTCTGGAGAGAGCTGTGCCCAGCCTTGCCTTGCCTCTCCCGTGCATACACCCAGCACTCCCAGCCACATTTTTTCTATGGTCCCAGTCTGGGACACAATTAATGGCTGAAGGCCCCATAGAGACTGATGTGAAAATAGGTATGAAGTGTGTGTGTGTGTGACTGAGTGAAGCAGAGCGCGAGAGAGTGCAAGGGGGAAAATAAAAAGTGACAGAGGAGGAGGCAGACAGACAAAGCAGACAGACAACACTCTACTATTCAGGTAAACACACAGTAAACAGCTGATTTTGT